AGACATAAATAGAAGGGGAATGTTAGGGGTATATTCCATGTATCTACCTTGTCACCATCACAAAAACAATCTAGTGTCTAGTTGCTTGACATGTGGAACAAAAGCTTGGAAGAGAGATCAAGATGGTGCTCACCAAGGTCCTTTCAATTCTACAATTCTGTAAAACAGAAAAGCAAAATATCTTCAAAAGAAATGCTAGGGGATGTATATTAGAAAAGAAGATGGCTACTTAGTCATCTTCTAATACAGACACTGTAGGGTATACTCGTCTCCCTTTACCTTCATTCTAATTTATCTGAGATCTAATTTATCTTCAGAAAGTATGAAAGGTAAAAAATAGAACAGTGGAAACCAAACTATGGGAGTATAGGTTCTCCCACAATCTCACATTAAGGGTATGAGGAAATGATGTAGCAAAGAACTAGTGAACCAACTTCAGAAAGAAAGAGGTAGGGCATGAATTCCAGCAGCACTGTGAAAAACATGTGACTCAAATTTTGGAAGTGCAGGGTGGTGGTCCCCAAGAGCAGAAGCTGTAACAACAAGGACGGCAGAGGCACCACACAGGGCATTACGTCAAGTTCCTTAGAGAATGCCGATGACATCTTGTGGGCAGTTTCTGCAGTGAGAACAGTAAGAACCTAAGTCTGCCACTGAGCTAGACAAGGAAAAGAGGATTGTCAATGACTTGTTAGTGGAATCCGTTGTAGACGACTTGATTGAGAAGTTGAATTGTAATAGAAGAAAAACAGGACTGTAGCCAGAGTTGGCAAAACAGACCAGTGAAGATGGTCTTCGTTTCCCTTTGTAGGCAGAGAAGAAGAGAGAACTGGTGGAGAAAGAAAGATTAAGGGATAATAGTATTAGCACTGGCAACACCATATTCACTGAAACGGAATGAATTTCAGTGCTCAGCATGTAATAGCACTTACTTTGTAGGCACTATCATTATGAGGAGTGAAATGGGAATTCTACCTGTCTCCTCAAGTTAAAGCTCCAAACGACCTTGTGATATCTGTAGGTGAGGACACTAAGCATTGTCAAATCAGTCATGAGAATAATGGGATCAAGGAGACAGTTGAAAGTTTTAGCATTTTTCTTGTATGTTAGGGAAATAATTTGAAATTCAATATTTAAAAAATGAAAATTGGAGCAGAAGGAAGTAATAAGGTAAGCAAACCTATCTGTGGAGCCAAGCTACTAAAAACATTAAAGTTGATAAATACCAAGAAGAAATTCACAGAACGCTGACATCATACCAATGAAAAACCAAGGTGGAGGGAAAGATGGTCTGGTTGCTGAAGAACAACCATCACGCCTAAGATGCAGGATGATGAAATTGGCCCTGTCAGGCTGACAGACATCATAAGCAGGGGCTCATTGCTCAGGGCCTGATTTGGCCAATTTGCTGATTTAAAATTCTGTTGTCATTGGATTTGTATTGTTAGGAAATCATGTGTCACCAAAAATGAGGAATACAGGAACATACTAATGTAACCTCAATAAGACTACCGCCCAAGGCCTCTAAAGTCCTTTAAAAAATAAAACAGAACCACTCAAGCAGAGGAGGCACAAAGTCCAGTATTTTAAAATCAGTCACAGCTAATTCCTATTGGAAATTACTAAATTCCATTAAAAGACACTTCTAGCAACATTTCCTTTAAGAGTCAACTTATTTTTAAACCTACAAAATGAATTTTAATCAAAATAGCTATTGATTCCTCAGAGAGGTTGTCCAAGTAATTGACTTTATATTTAAATAAATTTAAGATTGATGAGGAAACGCCAATAGAAAAGGTATTCTAGCTTTATTTCTATTCAGAGCTAAACTTCCTGTCTTAGAACTGACCCAACCAAAGCAGGCTTTTCTGGGGCTATGGGAAGGGGGGACAGAAGTTCCCTTACATGTGTAGTTTGTGCAGATGGGCAATGCAATACTAGTTAATTACTCACTGCACAATCTCAGCATTTGATTTCTCTCTGCTACATCTTGTGACTACCTTAAATTTTATTTTGGTGGGAATCACTTCTTTTCAATCATATTCAGGCATGTATGCATACACACATAAGACGTCAAGAACTACATTTTATTTTCCCCTTTTTGGATGGAAGGAGGCACAAAGCCCGCTGGATTTTAAAGGCATGCTGTTTATCACTGTCTCGGTGACCAAGGCGTGAAAGCTGTTGCTGTACCATGGAACAGCTTTCCCTTACTGACAAGCCATAGAAGGGCAGCGAAGCCACCAGCCCGAGGGTGTTTCAGCACCTCGGACAGCTCTCATCCTAGCAATGCGGAGCTGCCAAAAGACGGAGGGGCTCTGCGGCAGAGAATGCTTCAGCACGTTGGACAGCTCCCTGCCCCAGCAATGGGGCCCTCCCAAACTGCTGATCGCAGTGTTTTAAAAGGTCGCGCCAACATGCAAAGAATAATGCGCAATGCATTCCTAATTAGCTGCACATCTTCTGGTTTACATTTGGGTAGCAAAATGATGGCTCTAAATTCTCTAATCTTGACAAGAGCTGGTATAAGAAAAGCAGTTTTTACATCTACTATCTTTTTAAACGGGTATCTCTTAAACAAAAGGCAGTTATTGTTCCTGAAGGAAAAGTGACTTAATATGTACAACTATCCTTTGTAAATTTTTAGACATAACTTTTCCAGTTCTGAATAGCCATTTCTGAGAAAAGCACACAGAAGTTTTCAAGAAGTTGATGCCACATTTCGCTCTGTCATTGATTTGATCAGACATTTTAAATACATATATATGTATGTATTTCATAAGGACAATATATGCATGTACACTATGTTTATGCATGTACACTATGTTTATACCCACACCTACATAATAACACACACACACACAGTCTTCTGTATTTTTCAGGAAAAAACACTGATTTCAGGGCTTCCTGAATTTAAGTCAGATACACTTAAGTCAGAGCCACATCAGCAGAAATTATTTGCAAATGTCAGATCCCTAATTTGTTCCTCAGTTCAACCCTTTGCTTATCTGAGAAACAGTTCCAGGCATATATCAAACCGAAAAGAAGGAACTGGAACTATATGCTCCAAACTAAGATGGAAGGGGAAAAAAGGAGAGAGATGGGTGGAGATCATCCGAAACAAAATTCAGAAACTGTTGCCTTTCCTCTCTCCTAGCGACACCTAGAGCCTGTGATAGGGAAACTGCATTGTTTTCCAAGCATAACACAATTCCACAGTTTAAAGTCAGACTTAAGGCAAAAAGTGCATAATTTCTGTCTGCATTGCAGTTCAATTGTCTTCCCCAAGATTCTCAATAGTTTAATCCTCCAGAATTTTTCACCAACCCCAATAAAACCCCTCCTCAAAGACTTCTAGTTCCTTGAACCAGATGTCTGAAGAATCCATGCATTTCCCTTAGGACCTGACCCACTGAAGTGAGGGACAGCTCTCCGCTCACTATCTATGTAACCAGGGGAGTCTGGAAAGGATCCAAAAGAAAATAAGAAAATGTCATGCAAGATCTGATACAAGCTGTGGGGTGTGTGTGTGTGTGTGTGTGTGTGTGTGTGTGTGTACAAACTGCACTTCTCACAAACTTTCATCATCCCTGTCTTCACATCCTCCATTCATAAAACAAAAACAACCAGCAACAACAATAAAACCTCAGGGGCTTTTTTCAGAATTGTCCCTGTGAACGCTCTCAATACCCCCTCCCCCCAAGCTTGCACTATTAAAGAAAAACCAAATGGTGAAGCAGTGTGCCCCAAGGCAATGAGCACAACTGTCTGCTCAGTGCAGGGACATGTACTGCCCTGGGTATGTCAGGGTAGGCTATCTGAGGTTTGTATGAGGACTTGTGCCCAGGTACCCCCAGATAGGAAGCTGCTCAAAGGTACACGCAGGGGTTCTACAAGCCAACACACCCTGCATATCTCTAAGGGCTCTATACCAGCCAGGCCAGCTCTGCCTGCCAATCCGAGAGCTTGTCTGGGATTTTTCTCTTTTCCCCGGGGAAGAGAACATCTCAGCAGGCAGTCGCTTCTCTCTGTGGTCCTCCCTGGCCCTTGGAATAGCTGAAAGGGATCAACAGAGGTGGCTGGATCCATCCATCTAAGCTGCCCGCTAGTGTCCTGACTGAGTCATCAGTTACTAAGGTGATATGCAAATCCAACCTTTGAAACCCAGGCTTCCAGCCGGAAGAAGAGTAGAAAACATGCCCCCTAAGAAGTTTTCTCCTAAAGCAGGTCTAAGGTAGAGCTTCTAGTCCAAGGCTAGGCATGGGAGACAGGCAGGACCTGATTCCCATCAGCAAAAATTGTGCTGGGCCCTGGGACAGGACGCTGGGCCTCAGATGCTAGTGTTTCATGCCCCCCCACCCCGGCCCAAAAGGAAATCACCACCAACACTATCAGCACTGGAGGGGTAAGTGTCCTGGAGAGGTGAGAAGTAGAGCCCATTTGAGCAAAGGGACAGCGTTGGGGAGGTTGAGGAGGGCACAACGCATAGATTCCATTGACAGGTGGGAAGCCTGGGATTTTTCTTCCCCAGTCTCAAAGCAGGGAAAAAGAATGAAGGAATGAAGGAAGGGAGGGAAAGAAGGGAGGGAGGGAGGGAGGGAGGGAAGGAAGAAGGAAGGAAGGAAGAAGGAAGGAAGGAAGAAGGAAGGAAGGAACATCAAGTTGTAAGCACAGACTGAATTCTCGCCTTAGGAAGCATAACAACCTACAGTAACCACAGACATTCACACACCCAGTGACACCCCCCAGCCATCCCACATCCCAGCAGCACAACCCCACAGACGCTGCTCTCTCAAGCACCAACTCCTGGCCGCCACCGCTGCAGACCGAGACCCGCTCCGGGACGGCGGTGACCGAGATAGGCGCTGAGGAGCGAATCTGCTCCGGGGAGGCAGAGGAGAGGAGGGGAGGGGAGGGGAGGCAGGAGGGCGACCCCGACCCTCGGAGATGCGGAGATGCGGAGCGGACGCGCCTCCCCCCACCCACCAAGATGCTCTTACGTCCTCGTCGTCACCATCGCTCCGCGCCTGGTACTGGAACCGGGGCCGGCCACCCGCGCCGCCGCCGCCGCCGCCGCCGCCGCCGCCGACTCCGCCGCGCTCCCGGGGCGCCGCCGCGGGCGCCGGGGCTCCGAGGGGCTTGGGCCCCGCGCCGTCCTCCTCCGGCCCCTGGCTGCCCAGGAGGTGGCTGGCCTCGGGGGGCGCCGGGAAGGAGCGCGAGGTGTTGATCTTGCCCGTGAACCTCTGGTACAGCGAAGCCATCGGTGCCCGCGCCCTCGCTGGCTGCCTCGGGGGCGTTCTGTGCTTTGCCTGCCCCTCTCGGGCTCCCGCTCCCCACCCCCTCCGGGGAGAGAGGGAAGAAGCAGCAGAAGAAAGGGAAGCCGGCGGCTGCCGCTCCTCCCGCGCGCCACTCTCAAGTCGCCGCCGGGCGACTGCCTGGCTCGGCTCCTCCGCCCCCTCCCCCGGCGGGCTCGGCGGAGCCGGGGGTCTGGGGGTGTGAGCTCTCCCTCGCTTCTTTCCGCTTTTCTCAACTCCTCGCCACGGCCACGGACGGCCTAATCAAAGGCACTGAAGAAAGGAAAAAAAAAAACCCAAAAAACATAAAGGGAGGGAAAATGCCTAGGCCCCAGAATTGGCACCACCTAGAGACCGGCGAACAGCCAGCGCGGATCTCAGCGCTCCCCCCACCCCGGCCCCTCGCGCGGCTCCTCCTCCCCCCTCCCCAGCGGCCCCTCGGCGCGGCCCGGTAATGGCGCCGGGGTGGCAGGGGGCTGGCGGCGCGGGGGGGCCGCGGGGGCGGGCCGGGGGCTGGGCGGGGGCGTGCGCGCCGCGGGACTCGGGGCGCTCAGAGCCCAGAGGTCGGTCGCACCCCCCGCTGCGCGGGAAGAGAGCGCGGAAGAGGCGGAAACCGCGGAGGGTTTGGGGGGGTACTAAGAGGGAGCAGAGCCCCGAGGGCGCCCATCCTCGGCGCGGAGCTGCGCTCTGCGTCCTCACGCTCGCACCCCGCGCAGCTGCAGCCTCGCCTCCTTCCCAGCGCTCCCCCTCGGGTTTCCCTTCCAGCTTTTCTTGCCTAACTTGCAACAACAGCCAAGACCCCTCGGGCCTGGGGGTGCTAAGTGGGGCGAGGGAGAGCGAACAGCAGGGCTGAAAAGGGAGATGGCTCAGACACAACGCTTTCTAAGGAGCCCTCCTTGCTTCCCAAACCAAGCTCGTCTCCGAAAACAGATTCATTTTCCTTCCCCCGGGCTCAAAACGAAGGGAAAAGCAAAGGTCGTGGAAGGCAAGCCAGGGAAGGCCTGGCGGAAGCCTTCCCAGCAACTCAGTGGAACGCTCCTCCCTACACTTCCCAACCCATTTGTGTACATCGCGAACTCCGTGCTCATTTTCAGTAAACAGAAGCAGAGGCTGAAGCTTTTGGGATGCCGGCAACTTCTCCAAAGCTTGCTCCGCCCCCTCAGCCCCCGACTGAGAGGAAGGGACCTGGGAGAAACCACACCAAATAGGGCGCTGGGCTCCGGGTGCGCATTCGCGCATCTTGCTGCAGTAAGACGTGCTCCAGCGCCCCTGTGTGGAAAGACACCAACATGTCTGGGCGCCCGGCTCCGACTCCAGGCGCAGGCGGCTTTCTCTCCTCCCTTTCCTGGGGTGGACTGCTCCCTCGGGCCTCCGGGAACCTCTCCCTCGTTCCCAAATCCGCTCCTCCGACTTTCTTGAGGCTCTTGGGGGCTTTTCCTTCTCATCTCGTCCCCATATCCCCTTCCCTCTTGTTTATAGACCCTCCAGCTGGGACAGATCTGTCCCAACTTGATCTTCAGCGGAAACTAGGACCTGAAACTCCGGAGGGAGGGGACAGGTGGAGGGCTCGCATCTGCCCACATTGCTGTTCCTTCCACACCAGGTCAAAGTGGACATCTTCATCTTCACATTCTTCCCGGACACAGTGATGCTCCCTGCTCCCTCTAGGTTTCCAGGACTATTTGACTTAGGTTTAAAAAAATAAAAAGGCGAGGCCATGGCCACTCAGCAGGCCATACTTCGGGCTCACCAGCCTTTGGTGGGTCTGAATCCAAGGCGATCTCCTGGCATCACTGCCCAAGCTGGGATATCCCCAAGAAAGATCCTACCTGGTCCTGAAATTGCCTCTTCCCCACCAGTGTCCTTAACTTGGAGAAGCAGGATGCTGGTGAATCAGCCTCCTGGGAGGACATAAGTTCCAGTCCCTTTCAAACTCTCCCCAAGTCTCAACCCAGTGGGTAGTCTTGTTTTAATTAAAATGTATTACCACACCCATCCTCTGTTTAATCCACTGTGGTTTCCCTCCACTGTGAAGAAAAATGTGATTGTTAAACTAGTTTAAAGACACGTTTCCTTTAGGCAACCGTGAAAACAAGTAAAACCAATATCCCAATAGCTAAGAGGCTCCCTGAACCAGCAAAAGGCCTCCAACATAGGCAGATGTCCCTCCCACAGGTCTGGGGGTGCAGAGAGCTTCACCAGTCCCTCTTTACTTTGAAGACAGAGGCAGCAATTACAAGAGCCATAAAATGAAACTTTAAAAGTCATCACATTTAGATAAATAGGAAACCTTGCTGTCATCCCTCCCCCACCCCAGCTATGCTTTTGATGGGAGGAAGCTGCCTTTCCCAGCCCCACTTGAAAGGAAAGCTCAAGCTGCTCCCTGCAGCATCTAGGTCCTGACACTTCACTAAATATAGATGCTGTTAGGGTCTTACTTATGTAATACACATATGAAGTTTGCATGTATATATTCACACCAAGCATAAGAAGTAGCATTACATATTGCTTGTACTAACTTTTTATACAAAATACAGTATATATACAGAAATAGCTTATTTATCATACCCAATGCTTTAGAGAAGTATGCATATCCACAATAATGCGTTGAAACTGAGCTATGGAAGGCACGTGTGGCCCTCACTTTTAAAAATCATTCTCAAGGGAGCTTGTGGGTATTCAAATTACATTTGGTCAGTGTCAGAAATCCTAACTAAATGATTCAGACAACATAAGCAATTTTTATTTAAAATTATTTATAAAGTGAAGAAATGATAAGACTCAAACAACTGAAGGGAGAGTTGAGGTACACATTTGTGTTGAGAGAGAACAAATCCGAAAATTAAACAAGAGAAACGGGGGTGGGGGGTGCTCAGGCCCAGGAAGAGCCCTGAGGCAGGTGGGAGGATTGGTAGAACAGCAGCGGGAGATCAGCATGCACCACGCCTTTTCAGGGGCCTTTTCAGATGCCCTCTAGACTGAGGGCCCACTGCCTCCCTCCCAAAGATTTGCTACTGTCCTCCACCTTGCACTCAGAGCACCACTCATCCTCAAGACTGTTCTAGACGCTGAGTGTGAATACATACACACGTGTTTGCACACACTTCATGTGTGTCTTAAGCATTTCTTTACAAAGGGCAGTGTTATTTTTAATATACTGTCAGGACTCGGAAGTCTCAAATGCAACAGAGTCAGCCAGTTAGTGCATTGGGCCACGTGAGGAAATGCAATTGCAGAAAATTGCAACTACGGCATTTTGTGTTTATGATACGTAATTAACTCACTTACTGCCTTCGATAGCCTTTTCAGACCCCCATTCCTTAAACAGGTGGAGAGGTTCTGAAGAGTAGCAGAACTTCCCAATGAGCATTTAAATACAGGTGCATTTCAGAAGGGCACAGGTCAAGAACCGCCTCTGCTCACCAGTCACGGAACATCCTGAATATGTTCTATCAAAATAGATTCCCACTTCTGCTTATTGGGTAAATATGGGAAACTAGTTTTTGGAAAATATTTCATGGATTATTTCATATCAAGATATTAATTCCCGGGAGCCTGGGTGGCTCAGTTGGTTAAGCGACTGCCTTCGGCTCAGGTCATGATCCTGGAGTCTCAGGATCGAGTCCCGCATCGGGCTCCCCGCTCAGCGGGGAGTCTGCTCCTCCCTCTGACTCCCCCCTCTCGTGCTCTCTCTATCTCATTCTCTCTCTCAAATAAATAAATAAAATCTTTAAAAAAAAAAAAAGATATTAATTCCCCAATACTGCTTAAAACTGAGTCCACTGACCCATTTTTCCATCAAGTTGCAGATGAGTATTTTTCCCCTATTTATTAAATAAAGGTGTGGGTGTGTGTTTATTTTCCTTGGAACCAACTTACAAAACAAATATGGTAAGTCATTGGAATTAGGCAAATGCTGCAAAATATGGTGGATAGTCATTTTTTAAATGACAATAAAGGGAACTTTGTGGTCCACATGCAAGCTAAGCATTGTAAAAATACCAAAAGTATATTGAGTTCAGCAACCTAAGCATGGTTTTTATTAGCTAAGAGGTTTTCTTATTTCTAGGAGAGAATTATATCCTAGAGTTTACATCCTCTTTTCTGTGAGGGAAAGGAGGAGAGCAGAGCCCTATTTGAGATTTTGATTCCTTCCAAAAGCTGAGACGTGAGGGACGACAGAAGGATTTCCCTAAGATATTGGACACCAGAATCCTCTAGGTATGATCACCTTGTACTCATACCAAAGGGGAGAAATAAAACAAATATTTGGGTAGTTTGAGAAAATACAGTGCTAAATACATAAATACAGAGCCTATTGCCAAATAAACTCTCTCTATATGTCTATCTTTAAATTTTTTTTTTTTTTTCAGGATGCCTATCCACAAGGATAGGAAATGTCCAGCACAAGAAAAAGGAATTGCTAAGTTCTGGCTTTTGAAAAACACAAAATTAAAGTAGGTGCTGAGTTAATTTTGAGCTTTTCAAATTGGTACTTAACAATTAATGTTTTAAAGAGAAACATTTATTTTAACCCAACAAAAAGTCTTACTCTAAAATTAATAAAGTTCACTGTTAATCTCCCCATGGCACTTTTATTTGCCATGGTGCACCTGTGTGCCTGGTACTCGGCACTAACACCTACTATGGACTGCCAACCTCCCTTGCCCTGTGCCCCCAAAACCCACGAGGTTAATCGACACAAGGGGCCAAGCTGATTGCCAAGTCAGTACAACAGCCACTGAGTTGCCTAAAAGGCTGGAGTCAACCTACAGAAAATACTTGTTCCAGCCAGTGGGTGGGGGGCGTCCCTCCTGCCCCGCAGGGGTGCTCCCTCTGGCCTCCGACACCTGAGCGCCGCCCACCCCCCCACCCCCCCCCACCCCGTCTTCAATCCTTTCTTTCCTTCTTCTTGCCCTTCATTCCTGTCCTTGCTCTGGGTCAGTATCAACAGACTGTATATCTTT